TTTTGTTACTAATTTAACGATACACACATAGTCGTCTATTCTTGTTCTGTGTTCATAAACACGCCTATTAGACTGTTTGCGTATTTCACGTCTCCTTTATTTCTATTCCCTTATTTTCTCCATTTCCTTCTTTAAACTCAATTCAATATTCTCAATTGTACAGACCCGATTTATTATTATGAATATTCTACTATTATTGCTTTAAATTTTTTTTAATGGCAAGTATAATGCTGACATTATTGAAAATTGTGTATTATTGCATTTTCTGAAGAAACCCGAAATGGTTGCTTCACAACACTTATGTACCCACAAGATGTTTGTGAATAATAATAATAATAATAATAATAATAATAATGTGAGATTGCGACCACCGCCGTATGGGCGTTCGTTTGTCTGATACTCGTTGGTTTTCCTTGAACTTGACGAGAATCGGCGAACTGCTCAGTTTTCAGTGACCCAACCGCCGGCTGGTTTGGATAGGGCCCGGTAACATTCCGCTGACTCTACAAATCTTTAAGACAGAAGAATCAACAGCTACCTGATATCGGGTGGTTGGTACAGTATGTCTCTCAGTTTTCCGGTCGTCAACTTATCTTCACTAATAAGGAAGAGAGGTCTATCGACCTGTATTATTGCTTGCAGTTTGTAACACGGTGGAGGTCCAATCTCGTTTTTAATATATTAACAGAAGGTGCTGATATTACGTGTTCTGGTCGAGAATCTCAGTATTTCAATACTCGGTGCGAGAAATGAAACTTCAGACGTAGACGATTTGATCTCGGTGTTTGAAATTGCTTCTAATGTTCTCTCAAATGGTCGGTCCTCGACCTACGAATAGCCCATAATACTACAAATTCTCTTTCAGTAGCAGCCGTACAGCTACTAGTAGTTTTTAGATCGCTGCTTTTTATGTCTCTTAAATCTTTATGGTTTCTTACTTTGGGTAAAACGAATACACGTATTGCGTAGTGATATGGATCATCATAGTTATTTAGTCGCATCACCACGCTCTTGTTAGGACCATCCGCCCATCTCCGCCACCAATGAGTTGAGACACTATTCCGTCTAACACTGTGTATGGGTCTCTAAATCTTCATTTCATCGACGAAGAGTAGAACGGCTGAGGACTGTGCCTCGGAATACTCGACGTTTAGCAGATTCCCGTGATGAGCGGGCCCCATTTACACTTACCCTTTATCCCCCATTATGGAGAACGTTGCTTATCCAGTCTATGACCTTATAATGGATCCCAAATATTTCCAGTCTTAATTTAAGACTCGAATGGCAGACCTTATCAAAGGCTTTACTTAGATCTAAGAAAATTGCGTCTGCAAGAATATTTCGATCTTTTGCAGCAGCCCAATCTTCTATTGCAATGAGCAAATTTGTCAAACGTGATAAGTCCTTCCGAAAATCATGTTGTTCCCTGGATAGAAGATCATGTCCCTCCACATAGTTTATAACAGCCGTCCGAATAATTTTTTCTACTAGTTTCACAACTGCACTGGTTAGACTGGCGGGTCAACAGTTACTAATTAAATCTCTACTCCCGTCTTATACACCCGACTGATTATTGCATCTTTCCAATATCTTGGCAGCCTGGACTGTCGAAGAGACATATCAAACGGTACAACTATAGGTTCAGCAATTAAATCCGATAGGGCTTTCATAATCCCAAGATGAATGTCATCAGATTCACTGAACTTACCAGGTTTGAGGTGCCGAAGTAGTCCTAAGAGAGTACCTTTCTTGATCCATCAACAAGCCGCCATAATCACATTTAATCGTTGGTCGTTACTAATTAGTGATAGAAAATACATTACTGAAATATTGCGATAAAGCATCAGCTTTCACGACATCGTCTCTTGTCGATATTAACGGATTTTCTTGTACCAAAAGTGATGGAATTCTATCAGTTCTCAGAGTTCGCCTTTTTATATGTGGGAATAACCATTTCAGACTATTTTTACAATCTATAACCACTTGTTTTTCACTCAATTGTCTGGTCTTACTTACTAACGATTTACAGGCGTTCCTAGTCTTAAAACAACTGGACCTGTAGTAGAGATAAACATATTCCAATACTTTTTCATACTTCTGAGAAGTTTATCAACTTGTTTGGTTATCTATGCTGTACTATAATTCGGTCAACGTGTTATTAGAATATTAAAGATTCCCATTGTGAAAATTAGAACAACACATATAAGCGAACAATTGTTTTCAGTTAGATCGTCATCAGGCTTTACTCTAATATACATGAATATTTATACGAAAATTTTAAACCAATCAAGGCAATATGGGTCAATAATCACAATGAAATAGAATAAGTCTCTACACATAATAAGTAAAAGTACAAGTTGATAGTAGGAAGACAGGTGAACTGATAATAGTGAGAATAATAAAATACAATAACAAAACTCTTATCAATAGTTAATCGTCGGAAATAGAAGGTCAAACAAACATGGGTAAATAGAATAGGAATAGTAATCACAAAACATTAAAATCATTACGTAATAAGATGTGTGTAAATAATTCGATAGTGAAGAATACAAAGAGGCGGAAAAATTACAAACAACTAATGGATGTGGAAATAAGGTTGACGATAACACAAATAGAATAAAATAAATAAATAATGATAATAATAAAATTTAAAATAAAAAATGTTAGTTATGTTATAACCGGCCATGGAAGGGATAGGGGGGTCACGTATTTCGTCTGTACACATAAATTTGGGTTATATGTACGAATTTCAATGGCTTCAGCTATATGTAGGAGACGGGAGCGGACTCCGTCGGGAAATGATGGAGGTATATGATAGATAACTCGAAATGATTTCGATTTATCTACTGCATGACCGCTATCAATAAAATGTGCCAATATAGGACTGCGAATAGATTTTCTCTGGCCCTTTATGTACCAAGTTGATAGATGTTCACTCATTCGTTGGTTAAGTTGCCTGATAGTACGCCCTATATAGCTATCTCCACAGGAGCAGCTGAATTTGTAAATGCACATGGAAGAGGCCAACTCAGGTAACTTATCCTTCGTTTGAGTAGACATCGCTGGTCGACAAGAGAAAGTCAACGCAAGATTGGCTGCGTAGAATGTCCTGGTGATTACTTTGGTTAACCTATATTTCAGAGTGCCACTAGCCACATTCCCGTTGAATTGCACATTCATGTATAAAGGTTTCTTACTAACAGTCGAAATCTCCGACTTCTTTATGCTAGCTTTTAAATATAGACTATGCTTCTTCAACTGATGAGCTAGTATCTACAAACCAATCTGTTTTAACAGCGCACCCCTGAATGGATGATGTTAGCTTTCCATACACTTGGGCGGGGTTTAACCTGATCGTTTATTATGTTACTAGCTTTAAACGTGAGTAACAAAACGGAGTGATCACTATTCACTAATGGTGGGCGAATATTTAGGTTGGCAATACTCGCAGTCACACGAAAAAATACCATCTCTAACAAAAAGAACACTGGTTAGCACCAAAACGAGTGGGTCTGGATACATGATATACTAATGCATGCTTAATTACCGTAAACCTGCTGACAAAGCAGTTTATGGATCCTACCATTACCACCCCAATCCAACTAATAACGCGTGCACCAAAATCTCCTAATATCAAGTATCTGTTATTTGCACTCCATAGTTGAATGTGCTCTTAAATAAATTTATCAGCTAAGCAGATTGGGCTACGATATATGACATCTGATAGTGAGCTCACAGCTATTGACTTCACCAGTTACACTATCACGAGATTCGTAAGCAAACGAGCGGATATTTATATTATCGACTATGTATAGAATGATTCCACCCCCCTTCTACATCTATGTCTATCACTAATTAGGTAGTGGTATCCGGATAATTCTGAAGTAATGTCGAAGTCTGGACTAAGCAAGTTTCTGTTACGGGCTACAATGAGTGACGTTAATTTGTCCACAAATACTTCTAGTTCTTAGACTTTATTTCTTAGATGACGAGCGATGGCATTTTAAACTCCTAGGGAGAATGGCCTATCCATGCAGACCTTCATAGCATTCCTTTTCAAGACTTGCCTATTCGAAAACCTACTAATCGGAAATTCTCCTGTGGACAGCTTTCTAATTCAGCTGGTATTGTCTTCCTTTTTATTCTATCTTCATGAGGTATATCAGGTTTTACTCGAATGCCGGTACTGTCGTGACAACGAGCGCTACTTAAAAGAAGATAAAATTGCTACTCTGACCCTAGGATTACCTTACGGTTTCTATACGATCGGGATTCAACACTGTCGTCTTTCTTCTTACAGGATAAAGCTAATAGGCTCATGGCCTCCTGAATCAGTAACGTCTTATTTGTGCAGTAAAACATACGAAGCCAAAACTAATTAGGCTTTAAACAGTGTTCGAAAAAGATTCTTTTGTATGCGGTTGGACTTAAACGGGTACACATCTTGTGGAACCACTTTTTACACTCATTTTATTGCATTCTTTACTCGACGGGGAATAAAAAATTTGTCTGTCCACGCTTACAATTACTGCCAACCACTGTGACTAGATTAGAGTTTTAGACTCTATATGAACACAAGTGTCAGAGTCAATGAAAAAGAAGGTACCACAGGACAAAGTTTATCCAAAAATCATACCTTAACTGAAATACTTCGAACTAAGACTATGGATGCTTTTTGAAGCAATAAGTATAGAAAAGCAAAGATAATCACAACAAATACTAAATCACTTCCCTTTTTTGATTTTCCCAGTCCAGTTGTTCCATTACCGTTGGTTCACAGAAAATAAAACATTGTTCGTACTTGTTTGTGACAGGATTTCTAGCAGCAAAATTCATCACAAAGTCCATAACCATTTATTCTTTTGGTAGTTCATATTTGTTTACCGGTATATTTGCAATCAATATTCACCACCAAAGCCTCGGTAAGAAGCTTTTCAGATCACTTATTCTGTCCAATCATACAATTTTGATATTGATCAAGAACAACTTTTCTGAGGTCTAAATGATTACTTTTATTCGGCGGTCTTTTAACTTGGGGTGCTGTGTTTTTGTGACTTAATAGGGTTTTAGCATGTCAATTGAGCCAACAAGGTCACAGCAATGGCTTCATCATGATTCACAACTGGCTGCCGATGCTGGGGTAACATTTGAACTTCAATATGTTGGTGCTATTCCAGTGCTGACATCCATAAAATCTGTGAATATAAATACCAGAACTCGAATTTGTCGGTAAGGTTTAACTTTGAAACAGCTTGACTGACTTTAAATTTTATTTATCCTTGTTGCTGCTTTTTACGATCTAATGTATTAATTATGTAACTCATTTGCGATGGTAGTCCCAACCATATTTACATACACTTCATCCGTGAAGTTAAGTCTCGACTTGTTTGGGAGCATATTATTCATTTGTAATCTGTAAGGATAATTCAGTAGGAATACTCACCTGTTTTTTAAAGTCATAATTATCGTTTTACGATCAAATCTAATCTAGTTTAATCTATATGGAAAAGTAATCATCAAGATAAAGAACTGCAACATATAGTGTCTATTCCGGTCTAAATAACTTCAAATATGGAGCGCATTACTATGCTTTGTTGCATGAAGCATGTTCCTGGAGCATATTCAGATGTTTTCAAAATGTAAATTTGTATGTCAATAAAAGTGGCAATACATTCTGTTTCGAAACGTAAAAGGTTTGAAAATGGTAAAAGTGAGGACAGATTCACTGCTGTTAAAAGTAAATATGTATAGTGTCCTAATATAAATAACTGCACATATCTCCAGTTTAATTTACTATTTCTTCATTTATACTTTCATTCTCTTCTTAGTCATAACTACTGATACTCAGTTGTTTTGTTTTGTATTCAGTACTGCTAGCGATTATCACTTCACACCTGCTGATATGGAGTAAACGTTCCATTTGAGCGACCTGAAGAAAGCTCGATTGACGTTCATATTTTCACTGTCTGGGGAATCTAACCAACAAATGACAGTTTAATGCCATTTATATTTTAAAATACTTCTAGTGCTATAGTGTTTCTCTTTTGTTTCCTCAATTTTACCGCTTCTATGTTTAATAAGATAGGGTTTCTAAAGATTCCATTAATTCATGAGAAGTCTTACTGTCTACACGGTCCGGCACATCGAGTATTGTGACCATCTGGAAGTTTGTGTTTTCAAGATTCTCTACTTATATTTAGCTTCTAAAGAAATATCTGGTTATCATTATGCATAGATTCAGGCTACTAATTCAACCAGTATATTTTGGATCTGTAACGTATCCTACCTAATTAAGTTTGAATAATCTGGTATCACTAATTAATTGTATGTGTATTTACCGATATTGTTATTGAGTGACAGAATTTTTCTAAACTCAAAATGTTTACGTAAGGTTTTCAGGATCCCAAGCTTAACAAGTCTCTGCTTGTTAGTCTAGACGAACACGGAAGGACTGAGTACGTTTCTGGCTAAATGAAGGTTGTCTGAACTCACATCAGTGTTTATCGGTTTGGAAGTCGTGAATGACAATATCTAGCTTTAAATAGAAAATTCGATGTCAGTCAGTCAGCTACAACGTAGGACCAGGCACATATGTGCATCGATCCAGGTTCCCATACCTCATTAGCACAGCAAGATGAACAGCGGATTCATAGGAGTGGTTAGGTCAAAGGTTGCAATAAGGATATAGTATAGGAAGAAAGAATTAGTTCGTAGAAAGAAAGAATGAAGTGATTTTAGTCTCTTAGTTTAAGGGAAGACAGGGAGTGTATGCACCTACGCCATTGTGATCGATTCTCAGCCATGTCACCAAGAGTCTCCAACCATTGGTTACGATAGTCACGCGGACCATAATCAAGTAGTCTGCATCTACCGACATGGCTCAGACTAGAAGTTAGTGACTTCAGGCACTGATGCCACGTTTTGGTTTGGCCTCCCCTAACTTTCTTCCAACCATCCCCTACCCCGGTTAGCATTGCACGTCGTGGTATTCGGTGTTCAGGCATACGTAATACGTGGCCCAACCATCTCAGTCGATGAAGATTCATAACCTCATCAACTGATTTACCATCATTCCCTAATTCGATGTTAGTACTTCATCACAAACTGATACTTGTGATCATACACAGACCACAGTAAGTTATTCTCATATACATACTGAGAATAAACTGCTTTTAAATGCTACACTCAAATACGTCAGTAAGTAACAGGGAACCTGGGATACATGTATGCATCAACTCAGTAAAATGAAGTCATGATAAATACCAAAGTAATAGAAGTAATATCAGCAGAAGTAAAAAAGGAGCATAGACAGAATATGTGATTCGAACAGAAAGAATAGGCTGACAGAATATAAGGTGTAAAATTATTTCAAGAGTTAGAATCTAATGGAAGATATAGTAAATGTATCTGTATTGTTACGACCAATTCTGAACGCTCTTACGCAACTTCTGTAATTATTTGCCACAGTAGTCACGCAAGATTTACATGTAGTGGTGAGTAATGTAAATGAATATCCCAACTAATTACTTGTAATCGCTTGTTTTGAAGTGAGGTAAAGTTGATATAAAGCATCATAATATTTTTCTGTTTTTTATTTTGCTTTCAAGCTTTTTGTTGATTTCTCGAAATATTTATTATCAAATACTACATCCTTATGTTGACTAATCGAATTTCATAGTGAGAATTGATTCATAAACTTCAGTCGGCATGAGTGTTTAGCTAGTTGTTATCGCTGTAACGTTTAATTTATGCAGAGTTATTTACTATAAACCTAGATTTTAAGGTCATAATGCGTGTATTTTAGCCTCTCAAGTTAGAAGGCAATAAGAATTGTTTACATACTCTTAAACTCTCCCATATTTCTCCTTGCAGTGCATCAATACGTCGTGTATGTGAAGATGTTGGTCTAAAACTACCAAGTAACCAACCAGCTGACAAGTCAATAAAACAGTTCATTGGCCCATCCACTGATATGACATGGGCAATGGCAAACGTATACCTTACAATCACATCACAAACACTAACTGTTGAAACAATTGATAATGGTGTGGTATGTGATACATCTAATTTTTGCGTTTTGTTTTGGGTAGATGCTTTCGTTGGATAAGCGATGAAATCTTAAGTTATGAAATTGATGAGTATTATTTGTTAATAATTCTGTCAGAAATTGCTCTTATGACGTTGAAAGGTATTGTATGAATTGATGGTTGAAAGTACACTAATTATTAGACATATAAACCAACTGAGAGATAGAAATGTTAGCAATTCATCGAAACCCAAACCTTTGTCTATGGAAATATTATGTGATACATTTAATATTCCACTACCACCACAACAAGTTGAAATGAAAAAAAATGGGCTGAAACCAAAACCTAGCAGTAAGTCATAAAGACAACCAAACAAACGAGATTTTTTCAAGTGGACACAAAGGTGAAGACATAAGACCAAAATTCGCGAGGGTGATAATGTTTGGGCAAGAATGATAGTGGCTGGTTGTCTCCGTAGTCAGACTTGTAGATAGTCTGACAGGTACTAGATGGGTTATGTATTCAATTACCATTATCATAATTGTCGGTTTTGGGTGCTGAAATATATTTACGTTCTAGCCAGGCCAATCACGTGTTCTTGATCTGAGTTGTGTTACAGTCCTGTAAAATAGATACTGGCAGAGAATCTAATTTACATATTCGTCTAAGGTAAATTAACGTCCCATTGGTGTGACGTGGAAAATCGAACGTTATAAAAGATATGGTACAGGAAGAAAGGAGTAGTTTCTAGAAAGAAAGGTATAAAGTAATTTTAATTTCAGTGTTTAAGTGAAGACAAAGAGTGTATGCACCTACGCCATTGTGATCGATTCTCAGCCATGTCACCAAGAGTCTCCAACTATTGGTTACGATAGTCACGCGGACCATAATCAAGTAGTCTGCATCTACCGACATGGCTCAGACTAGAAGTTAGTGACTTCAAGAACTGGTACCACGTTTTGGTTTGGCCTCCCCTAACTTTCTTCCAACCATCCCCAACATGGGTCAGCATGGCGCGTCGTGGTATTCGGTGTTCAGGCATACGTAACACGTGTCCCAACTATATCAGTCGATGAAGATTCACAACCTCATAAACTGATTTACCACCATTCCCTAATACTCTGCGTCTAACCTCATTATTACTTACCCACTGATCTCAGCAGATACGAGCAATATTTCTGAGACCTCTGTGATCAAATACTAGTAACTTACGCGTATCCTCTACCCTTGATGGCCACGTTTCACAGCCGTGAAGTAGAAAAGAACGAACTGCCGCGCAGTATACTCGTTCTTTTATTGATAGACGGATATCTCGCCTTCGTCATAGGTGACGTACGTTGGCAAAAGCCAAGCGAGCTTTTCGAATCCGTGCTGAGATTTCGTCAGATACCAACCCATTAGGGCTGATCAGACTTCCAAGATAAGTGAAGTTGTCGACGCGTTCGACTACTTCAATCCCTATCCTTAGTTCAGGTGTTGACGCAGACCAGTCCTGAAGCAACAACTTGCCATTAGAGGGGAAGAAGCGCATTCAAAACGTTCTGGCATTGTTGCTTAGTGCTACCAAAAGACTGGATTTTATCAAGGTCTTTGCCAAACAGGACTGTGTCGTCTGTGTATTTCAAGTCGATAAGTGGACCTCCTGGAAGGAGATCATTGCCCGAAAATTCAGTCGATGAGAATGTTATTTCCATCAGTAGGTCTATGATGAAGTTAAACAAAAATGGAGAAAGTGGACAGCCTTGGCAGACACCACTTGATGTTGCAAAAACAGGTGACAGTTCGCCATATGCTCTGACTCGACTAGTAGTGTTCGAGTAAAGAGCCTTCACAAGGTTTATGTACCTCTGAGGTACACCTTTCAATGACAGACACTGCCACAGAAGCTTTTGGTCTACAGTCATATGCTGCTGCTTTTCAGTCAACAAAAACTGTCATTGTTGGACGCCGATAAGCATGCTTGTGTTCTGAAACCTGACGAATGGTGATTATGTGGTCGATGCAGTCACGACCAGGTCTGAAACCAACCTGATTCTCTCGTGCTTGCAGTTCATGAGTCTTTTGGGCGTCCGATAATTATTGAAGCTAGTATTTTAGATGCCATATTAGTTAAACTAATCTCTCTATAGTTGTCATAGGATGATTTTGACCCTTTCTTTTATATTGGGACGATCAGTGATTGTGACCAGTCAGATGGGATTACGTCCAACCAATAGTTAGAGACTCTTGGTGACATGGCTGAGAATCGATCACAATGGCGTAGGTGCATACACTCTTTGTCTTCACTTAAACACTGAAATTAAAATTACTTTATACCTTTCTTTCTACGAACTACTCCTTTCTTCCTGTACTATATCCTTATATGCAATCTTTCTTGTATATATTGCCAACATTTTGTTAACTAATCCTATGAATCCATTGTTCATCTTGCTGTTCCAATGCCGTATGGCAACTTGGACCGACGTGTGATGTTTTGGTATGTAGGAGCAGGTTGGAAGTAATCTATGGACGGCCAGAACAAAAGATGGCTCAAATCCATGTAGTTACTGCCAAGTAGACTGGGCAATGTTGGTAGATGTAGACTACCTGGTTGGGATCCGCGAACTGATGGTTAGAGACACTGAATGACATGGCTCAAAATCGTTTGCAGTGTAGCAGGTTCATCCATTCTTTGTGTTCTCACAAGTTCTAATCTTCTGAGTTCTTCATGTCCCTTTCTTTTTACTCTTTCCATATTTATTTCACTGGATTATACTCCTTGAATAACATCTTCTAACCCTAATCTTTTCGATGACTGCTTATACTTTTACTACCTCTAGCACTATGGGATTTGAATAGACAACTGCATCTCTGTGCTAATGTGGTATGGCAACTCAAACTGATATGTGTATGTCCGAAATTCTACGTTGTTGCTGACTGACTGATTCCAGCTCTGAGTGCGAAGCTTCATAAGACCGCAAGCTATTATCCTCAATCGTATTGGCATGCGTACTTGTTGGGTACGACCTTCGAATTAGTAGTAAACGTAAGAGCTGACAGCTTGAGCTAACATTTAATAGTCGATCATAGTACATTTTTTTTATTTTTTATGACTAAAATACTATAGCTTCCCACAGTTCTCCATTTTTCCACTCGTTTGCTTCTCGATCTCTTTATCAACATAAATGTTTCTGACCGTGTGATTTTCTACGCTTTACTTACTATTGATTTTCCTTTCTTTTTGCATTGGAATTTATCATGCTTAGATTTAATTGGCCAAAATAGGTATTTGTCTTGGCAATTTGGTAATATATGCGTCAGTATTTACTTCAATAATTAGTGGTGGGTGAACTTATTTTAACGTATAATAATATATGTTCACTTGACGTTATTTAATAATTATTTCTTTTGTTTTATTTATTCAGTTATTATTCCAGCACAACCTATTCCTGGTTTCTTTTGCTTCCGCTGGGGATGCAGATACACCAGATTTCATTTGTTATGTGGCCAAAACAGATCAAGACACTCGTATGTGTTACGTTTTTGAATGTTCAGATGGTCTTGCCCAGGATGTAATTATTACAATCGGACAAGCATTCCAGCTAGGATATCAGGTGAATATTAACACGAATTCACATCTGCGAATTGTCATGGGCACTTGTCCTTTAGATTGTAGTTGTTCACCCTAAGTTTTGATGTAGAATGTTTCATGAAGCTTAACCAGGATTCTAGTCGTTAGTATAGCTTACTGACACTGTAAAAACTATTGATGACGTGTAGCAATTCAAAATAGGTAGCTTAACATCAATAGGCATTTTCAGTCGCTGAGATTATTTCAAATATAATTTTCACATATTTTAGCAGACTTTAGTCAATAGGAGTAAAAATATCTAAAATTTAAAGGAAAAGATTGCTTAATTTATTTCCTTGTCTGAGATGAAATGTAGCCACTTAAAAAGATGCATGCTTGTGTTGTATTTTAATTTGTGAGTGCTAGTTTAGTGTTTTGATCACTGGGTCTTATGTCCATATCTCATCCCATTGAATTCGTTGTGAGCAGCCGAGCTGTATCTTCAGAACACAGTGTTAAACTTAAATCCGAACGCGTAAACCTGTAAATGAAATAAACATTTTTATGGTCGGTGACGAAGCATGTTAATTAGTATAAGAATTCGGCGTTTCTGAATATCTGAGCATAAAAATGGTGATCATTTATAGATGGTCCTTTATTTCATACGCTTTGTTATAAAGAGTAAATTTAACTTGTTATCAAATCATTCCAATCTTTTTATTCAACCGTTTAATTCAGTATGTCATCAGTTATTATTGGTAAAGTAAAGTTAACTAAATCATTACATTTTTAGCCAAACCCGAGTCTACTATTGTTACTTTTGATCAAAGTTCACGTAGTTTAGTTTCCTCGTGCTCAAACTATGCCTTGCATTATTGGTTGATCAATGCTGTAATATTACTAGTTTGTGATTTGATCTTGATTATCGTAGGTAAACCTGTATAATAAACTTCGAGACTGATGGACTAATGAATAAGCAAGGCTGATGAAAAGTGTATTAATACGATCGTACCCCATGTGTGTTATTTTCCCTAGTTTTGTATATTCAATTTACCCTGATCAGATAGAAAAGGAGCAGTTATATTATTTAACTTATCAGACGTTAGTAAACAATGAACTTTTAGACCATTTTTAAAGCTATTTTCACAACAAAAAGCTTTCGCAATTTAAACATTATTCCTTATTTTATTTTTTATCATTATTTTAATTTATTTTATCAATATACTGTCCTAACTACTCTCTATTTATTTTTGTATAAATATGAACAAAATTAGGATTTCAAAAATTCTAAACCGCAAAATGTTAATAAACAAACATCTCCCATTAAATTAAATTCATTCGATTCATTATTTTCTCATCACCAAACATTTCAAACAAATATATCAATGTCTAAAAATTCTCTTAGTAATTCAAACAAACCTTCATCTATTAATAGTACCAATTATCATGTGAGTTGGTTTTATTATTTACAATTATAATGTTTAATGTTTTCAATGTAAAATCAAAAAATATATATATGTGGTTGTTAATTCTATCGAAGCGTCGAAGTAACCCCGATTGAGATACGCGCAAAATCGAAGTTCCAAAACAACGATTTGTCTACAAAAGCGGTTCTTTATTAAATAATGCACAAAATTTAGTTACAAACCTCAACTTGTGAGGTGTCTAGGCGTTTAAACGCGTCGTTCAAGAATGAAAATAGCAAAAGCTTCCTGTAAGAGTAACATAAAGAATGATTACAACATACGATAGTCCGAAGACAGCCGATAGCTGTGTCTAAATTTGGTAACAGTTTATGAACAACCGAAACTCGAACCAAGAGCAAACAATATGGAAACTGTTGCATTCAAACAAATGCATAAAACTGTGGATAACCTTTACAGTAATTAAATTACAGTGATTATAATGATAAATACAATTATAAGTAAGATAAACATTAAAGATATATGTGAACATTCCAGAATGTTACAGTACAACTTGAGTTACAACATAAGTGTGAAAACTTTTGGGTATACAGCGGCCTACTGAATGTAAATAAGTAGTATAAAACAACATACAAAAGAGTAGAAAAGGAACATATAGGAACAATGTAAAACAAACTTAACACCGCCCCCCAAAGACAGCATGTCTTTCCTTACTTTCGCTGATTAGGTATTAACGTAAAAACATTCAGAGGTGACAATGGTACGATTTACTCTAGCCACAGTCACTCTGAAAAGTCTCTCTATCCTCTACTTTTCGGTCATCAGCTCCTTCTTATAAACAAATTTTACATATGCCTCTAATAATTGTACCCTTCCACGTTCTGATCTTCGCTTGGTTCCATAGACCATCTCCTCCTGGATCAAAACTTACCACGAGGCCTTTAGGCCAGTTATTTCGTGCACAAGTGTCTCCAATAATCAAGACTGGACCGCGAACTTGTAAATCTCGTCTTCCTTGTGTCCATTTCGTTCGCGTCTGTAAGAGTGGCCTATCATTAGGTATTCTTTCTGCTTCAGTCAAACAGGTGGTGAGTGTCTCGTAGGACATAGATACTGCGCTCGAAAGTCTACGTATGCTTCCTATTAATTTTTCCCATACTCGATGGTGATTTGCGTAGGGAGTGTTATGGTGCCATTCTATGTTCCGATGAGTCATTTCTTCGGATACTCTACTATCCTTAAAGTCTGGTAATGGATGTTGTATCTGCTTGTCTAACCCAACTAAAGGAGACATGGATACAGTTGTCTTAAACTTCTTATCATCATCAGCATACTGAATAAAACAATCATCTTTCTGATTCTCTGTTTCACGCTTGATGTCAATAGAACTCTCAGCAGACGCCACTACAGGAGATACAAGTTTCGTATTTGCAGAGAACTGAGTTGTTGTTGCTTTGCAACTAATTGATGACTCGTGTAGTAGTATCACAGACTTAGCACTATCGTTCACGTCAGAAACACTAGGGAGATCTGTTTCGGCAGAGAACATAACAGATGTTTTCGATGACATTAACTCGCCGCTATCTGTTGGAAGAATTTTGTCTGGAGGAGAAATACATCTAAGGTCAATATTCACTACTGTATCGACGTGACTATCGTTGACAGTTTTTAGAAGGTACTCATCGTCAACAGCTGGTGATGAAATAACTTGTTCTAAATCCATTAGATTCTCGTCTGTCGCTTTAGATACAGAGTCAAAGGTGTATATAAGTCCGTTACTTCTTGAATCAGGTGGAGTGTCAAATCCAGAAGAACGAACTGACGGTAAACTTCGATGAACCCTGGAATCTTCAGTCTCAACAGCGGTTGCTGTTACTATGAGTGAGCGTACATCATCATCATCGACTAAGAGTGACACATCAGGAGAGTGTTTAAGGCATAAACCAGGATCATCTATAAACGGCAACAAGCGATTTGAAGGGTTTTCAGGCGATACTGTGGTCAAAGAAGAGGGTGGCGTGGGTCCGTCCTCGATAGAACTCTTTGCTTCTAAACAACCTTCCTAACTCAATCGTGACTCTTCGTCTATCATCTCATCCCACCCATAGTTTTTACGACATAGCTGTTGCAGAATTCGTTTAGGGGTAAGTGATAAAGGTGCTTGAAATCCAAGCGGGTCATATAACGATGATGCACATGATAGAATGCCTCTCTTAGTGATCGGGCGTTCGGGAAGATTTACGTCGAATGCAAAACAATCGGATTGCGTGTGCCAACAAAGTCCTAAAGTTCTCTGTATTCGTTCTGTTGAACCTGGTATACGAACCAAATTGTTTGATCTGTCACCTATAGGGACGTCATTCAGCGCTTCATTTACGTTACTAACCCATTTATGTAAACGGAAGCCCCCAAGTGCTAACTCGGCAGCTTCTGGTATTGTTTCTACTGAGACTAGACAATCATCTACATAAAAGTTTTCTCGAAAGGTGGACTGTGTTTTTTCATCAAACAAATCTCGGTGGTCTGTAGCTGTACGTCTTAAAGCATAAGTAGCGCAAAACGGCGAGGACGAAGCCCCGAAAGGATGTACATGCAACTCATAGACCTCAGAAGGAGAATCAAGATTGCCATCGGGATACCATAAAAAGCTGAAGGGCTTTGTATCCTTTTCGGGTAGATGTACCTGGAGGAACATTTCTTCAATGTCTGCTGATAATCCAATCTTATGCTTTCTGAATCTAAGCAAAACTCCCACTAGGTCGTTTGTAAGATCTGGTCCAGAATATATACAATCACTTAGAGACCTGTTTTGTAACTTAGCAGCACAATCAAAGACTATCCGAACTTTACCTGGTTTTTTAGGGTTAAATACGGGATGATGTGGAATAAAATACCTTTCTTCTTCGATAGCTTGTGTTAATCGAGACAAATATCCTTTACTTTCGTGGGTAGCTAATATAATAGTATACTGTTTCCGAAGCTGTTCGTCTTTTAGCAACCTCTTACGTAGGTAAATTAATCGTTTTTCTATTTCGCGCTTATTCCTTGGAAGTGAGTGCCAATCCACCTTCCAGGGTATCGGCACTTGATAATGTCCATCAAGCAATACTGTTTGTTTGTCAGTAATCTTCATAATGGTCTTATCACATAGGGACATGGTAACCTTATCAGAGTACTTATTTTCAGAAGACTCATGTTCAAATAATTTGAGAATATCCTCCTCAAAGGAATTTTTCGCTTTTAAACAGTTCATGAAGACTGAAGTTTTATTAAGTTGACCCGTTGGTCCAAATAAAGCCCACCCTAACATGGTTAGTGAAGCATAGGGTTGTTTAGGTTTTCCGATACGCTGATCGAGGACCCAGTGGGCCTCTGGAACGTCAACACCAAGTAACAAACCAACCTTGTCACAGGCTATGGTGAGTAGTTGTACACCTTTCAAGTGTTTCCATCTTTCTTGGAAGTCCGTTGGTGGGATTTCTGCCCTTTTAATAGGTAGCTTATCTATAGTATATGCACCTTCGATTTTTATTCGGTTGGTCTTATCTAAAGACTCAATTTCGAAATTGGTAAGTTCAGCGTTTTGAGATGACGCTCCAATTACCGAAGATATGTTTAATCTTGTCACTGTACCAGAAATTCCTACCTGCTTTGCCACGTCACTAAGCAGTAATGTCGAGTCTGAGCCATTACCTAACAATGCATAGGTATCCACATGTCCTGTGGGACCATGTAGCCTGACTGGTACAAAGCCTAAATCCGTTCCAGTAGTATAAGTAGAGTTACAGCATGCTTGTTTAGCATCAGGTTCTGTGTTGTGAAGAATTCTATGATGGCGTTGCTTGCATCCATCGATTTCACACAACACGGGTTGTCTGCAGTCTGTGGCTCGATGGTTGGGTTTTAAACAATTAAAGCAAAGTTTAAACTTCTTCAGTAATTCTAACTTTTCGTTGTGACTTACTGCCAGCAGCTGAGGGCAAGATACGACTTCGTGGGCATCCGAGCGAATTACACAATGGACTGTTCCTTTACGCGACGATATATGGATCTTAACTCTTATAGAATCAGACCGGTTGTTCGGTGTCTTTTGAGCTTTGTAACTTCCACTTGCTAACTGTCCATAAGTGTTTGTTGCGATTGACACTTTCTTTTCTAAGAATTGCAATAAATCATCGAAATTGGGCTCTAGCCCCTTTCTTAAAATATCGTCTGCGGCCTCCGCCCATTTAAACTGTATACTACGTGGTAGTTGTTTCACTATTCGTTTTATGTTGGTCGAACAATCGAGATCGGCACTTCTGCCCATCTGTGACAAGGCTATCTTACAGTTAGTCATGAGTCTCGTCAGTTTCTGTAGGCCCGTTATGTCGTCTTGATTCAATGGTGATCCACTTAACAGTTCTGTTAAGAAGGCTTCCACGATGTCATGTGGTCTGCCGAACCGTTCATGTAGAATTTTAATTGCCTCAGTATAACCTTCTTTTTCTGGTAATAAAACACAGTGTTCTATAGCATCCTTTGCTATACCTTCGCAATAGTGTATCAGGTACATTAATTTCTGAGTGTCATCATTTACTCTGTCAGCTATGTTAACCTTGAATCCCTTCATGAACGTCCAAAATTTCAGAGGACTCCCGTCAAATTTCATGATTTCTATCTTCGGTAAGCTTACTGACATACATAGCGCCTTGACACTATCTATCTGTGCTTTGAATTGCATTTCATCACTCGAAAGTACATTGGTGTATCGGTGACTTGCTGTAACTGCCGAAGTTTTATCCTCGGATCGAGACCCCGACAACTCGGTAGTCTCCCTAGGTCTTCTCACTTTGTTTGAAGAGTTCGGAGTTAGCTCTAACAATCGCTTGCGTAGTTGGAGTTCTCTTATCTCCAGCTCAATCTTTTCTACTTCCCTTTCCCTAGAAACCGCTTCGTCTACTACGCTGTATCTAGTCTTTACATAATTGTCTCCTACCGAGCAACTGTCTTTGGGGTTAGGTTTAACATTATCAAGAGCAAGATTTAAAGGAATAGGTGAATTCACATTAGAAACTGAAGGAATAATATTTTCAGCACTGGAATTGTCTGTGTCTTGGGAACTGTCGTCGTTGTACTTCATTCTTCTCGTTCTAGTCATCGTTGGGATGAACGAAACAAACAGGATTCCGACCAAATTCGTTACAGCAAGTATTCGCTCCAAATAGGACCAAAGTTCAGAACTGTATCTACACAAAATGAGACCAAAGTTGAGAACTGTTAATTCTATCGAAGCGTCCAAGTAACCCCGATTGAGATACGCGCAAAATCGAAGTCCCAAAACAACGATTTGTCTACAAAAGCGGTTCTTTATTAAATAATACACTAAATTTAGTTACAAACATCAACTTGTGAGGAGTCTAGGCGTTTAAACGCGTCGTTCAAGAATGAAAATAGCAAAGGCTTCCTGTAAGAGTAACATAAAGAATGATTACAACATACGATAGTCCAAAGACAGCCGATAGCTGTGTCTAAATTTGATAACAGTTTATGAACAACCGAAACTCGAACCAAGAGCAAACAATATGGAAACTGTTGCATTCAAACAAATGCATAAAACTGTGGATAACCGTTACAGTAATTAAATTACAGTGATTATAATGATAAATACAATTATAAGTAAGATAAACATTAAAGATATATGTGAACATTCCAGAATGTTACAGTACAACTTGAGTTACAACATAAGTGTGAAAACTTTTGGGTATACAGCGGCCTACTGAATGTAAATAAGTAGTATAAAACAACATACAAAAGAGTAGAAAAGGAACATATAGGAACAATGTAAAACAAACTTAACAGTGGTTTTGTCCTATTTGATTTATCTCTGTTAATTGACAAATTTATATTGACATCGACTATGAATGCATTCAAATCGATAGACTTTATGTCTGGTTTGTCCAAGGAATAAATGTACATATGTCGTTTACTAGTAGGACTCAAAATGAAAAACTTGTCACCCTAGATTCAGTATTTGAATTCTTGCTCATACAATTTGCTCTCGAACCGGTACTACTGTGCCTAATTAGTGACTAAAACTGAAAAGCTAATGCACAGATTAAGATACTAAACTATGTGGAAGTAATATCAACCGATAAACTATAAAACGAAATTTCGAATGATTTTTGAATAGGGTAGCCTAATAGGTGGAAGTTTTCATTGAGTCAACGAAAAAGAATGTTATAATAAGGAACACATGTTTCACCAGTTATCAGGAACTCCTTTTTCTTACCTTTTGTTTAATAGACTAAAATAAGAAGCTATTACTGAAAAGTAAAATCTTGTGTAGATGGCTTTATGTTACGCTGGATTTCTTCTTTGGTATATCTGATGTGTCTTTTACCAAGGTGTTAGATAATTTACAAAAGTGGATAAAGCGATTGTTCAACGTTCGATACTGATGATATTTCCACACTATTTTCTCAGGAAAGATATGAATTGAAATCAGTCAGTAATGAATGATGTAATTTTAAAATTCAGGAAGAGTTGGAATAATGAATGGCGCAATAAATAAATAAAGGGGGGGGGTAATGTTACCAGAGCAAAGGAAGATTTATTACTGTTTCTTTTTGTATACATAGCAGAAGCATGTCAATCACAAATCATAAACTCGTGCATAGCAAAACTGCTAGACAATCCAAAAGGCTTACTAAGAAACACAAACTTAAACTTCACCATGTATAGAGGAGTAAAACAGGGAAGCAAAGAAGGTTCTATCCTGTTCAATCTAGTCTTCAAACGTATTCTAGAACACACAATTGTTTGCACTTTGAAAGAAATTGACCTGAAAGATCAGAACAATGAATCCTGATCAATCAAACATTTAGAATACACCGATGATCTCTGTATAATAACTAATGACACGGAAGAAGCTACCATTGAAGTCTTAACTTCTTTCTGTGCTTGATCTCATCTTTTAGTCGCTGATTTTCGGGGATTTGCCGTTAGTGTTGCAGCTTGCATAATGGATTTTTCTATTTGTATAAAATCATTTGCTTCATCTATTAGATTATTATTCCGAAAAGTTTAAGATCAAACGGACTAAAAACATTCAGCAGTGCCATCGCAAGACATCTCCTTGACACAGGACACGAAGTCGATACACTGAAGTCCTTCAAGGTGATTAACAAACAATCAGACTCAAACCTTTTGAAATTTGCCGAAGCGATAGCAATCAAACGTCTAAAACAAGATATATGTATACAAAAAGAAACAGTAATAAATCTTCCTTTGCTCTGGTAACATTACCCCCCCCCCTTTATTTATTTATTGCGCCATTCATTATTCCAACTCTTCCTGAATTTTAAAATTACATCATTCATTACTGACTTATTTCAATTCATATCTTTCCTGAGAAAATTATATATATATATATATATATATATATATATATATATATATATATATATATATATATATATATATATATATATATCATCTAATGTTTTTCAATTCCATACGTTCTAATCACTATTTCAATGTTCTAGAACCTTCCCTCCCAAACTTTATTTATTCGAAACGAAATTTTATGACCTCATTAACTCTATCAGAATCTTCGCTTCATCATTATACATATATTCCTCCCTAATCACCCTCTCTTCTGTATGTCAATAACTGTAATAACTCTGATTTTCAAATATTTTAGGTTGTGAGCAGCTGAGAACCTAACGAAATAAAATGAATTCATATTATTCTGCACCGATCTTTGTTCTTGCTCATAAATTCATCTATACCTGTTGAGATCAGGTTTTACATTACACAGACTGTATATTCCTACTCATTTATCTCATTGATTTTAAAATTGTGTGATATTTTCCCCTATTTGAAAGTGGATTATTCACTTACTATTAAATTATATTTAAAATTTTCATTAATATTACTCTTCTCTACAATATTGTTTATTTTCTTCCAGGTATCTGCCAATACCAGTAATTCCCTATCAAAAGAGAATACGACATTAAATCAAAATACTTCTATGCCTGATAATAATGTTACTCATCAACCAGTAGCTTTTGATAATTTTATGGATTTTGAAGATAGTGCATGTAATGTTTATTTTTATTCATTATTAAGCAATTTGTTTTATTTCAAAAATATAGGTGTCATGAATAAATGCACTTTTGAAACAAAATCAGAACAGAAAGTAAATGTTTGATGTAGTAAAGACTAATAAGTAGTTTTTTTTCAAAATCTTTTTGTTCAATTCATTTAAATAAAAAAGCAGGATAGTATCAAATGACTTAATATTCACGAAGTGACAATTATTTTATTACTTTAACTCACGCTTGCTTATTAAGTCCTGCAATACTAAACGACTTAAATCTTAAAACTTTTCCTCCTAATTCACAGTAGTCCTTGCTTATAAGTCCCAATAGGAAGGACTTCCAAGGCACAGAATGCACAGTCATTCAATTCAGCTAAATTATCCCCATTGTCGCTTTTGGATGTTAAACGTGGTAGTATCTCCTTCCAGTGTCATCGTCCATGATATGTTGTTAATAGTATAACGTTCACTTCAGTTCCCTAGAATAAAATCAAACTATCTGAACCATCGATGTAAATATTTAGAAATAAATTCATCTGTACTACGGATCATTCTCCATTAGTATATTTATTCACCCGTGTTAGCAACTACATCAGATTAAAATAGTGAAACAGTTTGTCCTTGTGTACTTGGATTGTCTAATAATGTACTTTTTGTTTTGAATAAATACTATCAATTAAATTATAAATGGTCAAATTATCTACTTTTTCATTTAATTGATTTCGCTCCAATACTTGAGCATCATTTTTCTAACTTATATCTATGCTGGCATCATTTTAACTTTTATAATGACGTTTATTAATTTAGGTTTTTGATGAGGAAATACGCATGTTAACGTGATCATAATTATTTTTCATTGACACAGATTGCTACAATTGACTCCACCTTAGATTATGTACCACAAGGTTATATATATTTACTATTTTTATACGCAGGGCATCTTGGTAACGAACTTTCTTCGGGTAATCAAACTGATAATGCAGAATGCAATAAGCCATCCTGTGGCACTACAAAAAATTCCACCCAATCTAATCAAAATGATTTAACACAACAGCCTTCCTGCAACATTAATAAAGTCGCTGGTGTCAAATCAATGTCTAATGTAAAGGCACCAGTTGGACTTCCAAATTTTGAACATTTAGAACCAGTAGGTGAACCTTGGTATGTTGGTAAAATGTCCAGATCACAAGCCGAAAATTTGTTGCGTTATGATGGGGATTTTCTTGTACGTGCTAGCATTCAGCAGCCTGGTCAGTTTGTACTAAGCGGCCTTCAAGACGGAAAATATAGACATTTGTTACTGGCCGATCCCAATGGAAAGGTAATATTCTGTTTAAGGCAACTTCATTAACCACACCATGTTTGCAAACAAAATTTCATTTATCTGCTAAAAATTCTAGCAAGATGTTGGAGATAGATCTAATTGTACGATATCAGCTAAACAACCGTCAGATCGAATTTCGTTTTGCCTGACACAGATCTATCAGCCACAGTATTTCGTTAATTTAAACACCCAATTTCCAACCATATGATTAGGAGTCTGAATCTTGATTACATCACCTCGATTCGTGTGGTTTTTCCGAAACAAATGTAGCTCAAGTTCAATTACAAAAAAACTCTTGGACTCATCTAATTTCAACCTCTAGTGTACGCTAACAAATGTTCCACGAATAAAATTCAATGTTACATTTCAATTGATAGTATTTTTATAATAAACTTGTAGTTAATACATTACAAATATCGGGACGATTTTCACTATCTTAAACTTGCTTTGACCCGTTAATTTTGTGTAGTAACCACCTAATGTAATCACATTATTTCACAAAACTAGTGGAAATATCACAGTTGTTGGTGCATTTTCCACGTTGTCTTCTGAGGGAACTAAGGCTGGTTACTTTGGATGTATTAAACAAAAAATATCATTAAAGAGGAGCTTGCTGCAACACTACCGGTTTCTGACTAGTATCAAATTGAGGAATTTGTATCCACATTATGGGGAAAAAAATTGTGAATTCTGGATGTTGGAAAATTATGTTTATTAAAATTTTGAACTGGCCTAGATCTTATATGCATGTTTTTGACAAATTTCAGGTACGTACAAAAGAACGAGTATTTGATAGCATACAACATCTTATTGATTATCACGTACAAAATGGTGCGCCTATTCGTTCACTTGACAGCGAAATAAAATTAATATTTCCGGTATCTACACATACATTTTGCATTTCTTAATTCAATTCCGCATGTAAGTTGTAATTACTTTTATGGACTCTCGTTGTCTACAGTGTCCATAACAATGTTTAGTAGCAGGAATGTTTGTAAGGTCTTAACCTCGTATATCAATGGACCCAAATAACATATGCCGTGTTGTGTGTTAGCGAGCAATTTTAGTAATTATCGACTAGTGTACACCGATTTGCCACCAAAGTTATTACTCAAATTTACGTATATCCTCACGTCATTAAAATGGACATCTACATCGAGAGCGAAACGTACTATAATCTGATTGACAAGCTTGTATGTTGAATCTAAATAGCAAACAGCATGTTTTAATCACCTATTTTTAAAGTAGAATTTGTATGCTAGGTGTTAATTCAGCAATGCATTTTGTCTAAGCGATTTTACTGTCCATTGCTACGATTAATGAAGCTTTTCGGATAAACTAATAATTTTAGCAGTCAACTGTTATCATATTATGTAAATAATCTCAACATCTTTGAATTTCAGGATCTTTGACATAGGTGCACAATTCAGTGATAACATACCAACAACTCAACTTTATCTCTGTGATCTAATAACTTTATTTTATATCCCATGCTTATATTGTTAAGTTATGCTTTCTCTATCAACTTTCTATTTCATAACATTCCAAAACTTTGTGTAAATCGACTTACCTACTTTTATACTAAACTTGTGCAACATGCAATAATATTTGGCTGTAATTTATTTTACATCACATTATTTTACTAGTGACTTTTTTGTTGCTTTTCTGCAAATTAATCACTGATTTTGCGTAATATGACTTCTATAAAAATCCTGTAAAATTTTCTAGACTTCAAAATGAAACGACAAACCAATGAAGTGTGGCAAGTCATTTCATGTTCGTTTTTAAATACATTACCTAATGATTTCACAAATACTGGGTTGTATATCTGTACGAATAGATATGGTCTGAACTTATCACAGACATGTAAGCATTAAAAATCGTACAGGTACTTAACTCTTCAAGCTCTATACACTAAGTGCTCCATGTGAATCGAAACTGTAAGTAATGGAACGTAGTTCAATAAAGTTAACTGTCACTTACATTTTGACATATACAAATGCAGTTCAGATCTATTTCATGTGATCTTAACTTGCCTCAATTTGTGAAAAAATTCTAACGCAGCAAACGTCAACGTGAACCTAAGCTTAAGAAGAATTATTACTGATGAAATACAAAGATAAAGAATTCCACAATTCCGAACTTAGTGGAAAATCAAGGAAGAAAACACGTGCTATTGCCACCGGTCTTGAGCTTTATCGCCTATGGTCTCCACAGTTAGTAGTTCATAGACAGCATTAGTTCTAGAGGAAATTCCAGTCATGTGTCTATATCTACTCCGTATTACACAACTTCTATTAAGATCGGAAATTCCAAGAATAGTTCGCCAAGCGTTTTTGACTATTCTGGGTTTGAATTGTTTGTGGGATATTTTCTTCACACGCTTCTGAATCATCGTTGTTTCATGAGTTTAATTATCTCTGCTTAGCTATTTTAACCCAGAGAAAAGCCTTCCAATCCAACAGAACGTTTGTTAAGACATTTAGTCACAGATGTTAAGCTACAGGTCCCAGTTTCGTCTAAATAGCAGATACTTTGTTGAGTTTTAACAGTGAAAGGAGCGATTGATTCAAATTTTCACCGCTAAAAAACAAATAGTCCAACTTTTTACTCTTATTTATAAACCAACTACTTCCATGGCTAACCGTAAGCGGATTTTCATACCAAACGAACTATTATTATTTCCAACTTCACGTGGTTGCGCGGCTGGGAAAAAATAATCACATAGATTATATATATATATATACTTTTTATAAGATATAAGCGCAAGATGAACATAAATTATGACAAATTCATGCATAGCAAAGGTTCATCAGAGTACACTGTCAGAATGCTCATTAACACATTAGTCATTCAGAGCTTAATTTATTCGAAACTGCTGCAGCTAATTCAAAGTAACGACAAAAACGTTGTCTTAATACAATAATAAAACTCCGTATATCTTCAGTCCAATTCAGGTGGTTTACAAGCCTTTCTAGATCCGGTACGGGTGGATCACACAACACGACTTCAAAGCGATTAGTATTTACTATACGAAGTTGACAACAGCATACAATTACTTCATCACTACTAACCAGCGCTTCTGAACAACCATGAAATAGCAACTGTAGTAGCCCAGAGTGCGTTTTCTGTATTTGAATTCCAAGTAGGCGTTCGAATGGTTGGATCATTTTATAAACTTGCATCAGTGTAGAATTTTCGAATTCACATGGGAAAAATGAATCTTCAGGAGGATTTTCAGATTCAATTTGTTTCAAATAAGCGATCTAGGAGGACAAGCAAACCAAATTTATATGCGGTTTAGTTGAAAAGTATAAAGCACACGTGTGATAGGTACAATGGTTAAAAAATAATACCGTTAAATTTGCAATTAAGTTTTGGCAAGTACGTTGATCAGTAATGTAAAATGAGCTCATTTTTTAGTTGTGTTTGTTTTGTTTCCACTGGAGAACTAAGAAATGACGTACCGCAATTTTTATTTGCGATAATTACGTCAAATGAACCCGACTACAGTTGCTACTTAGATGTGGTGGTCGGTCTTGTTTATCGTGGCGATTCAACCGAGCTATATTGTCTGAAGCATATGTTTATGCTCTAATTCGGAGCAAGGAATACGGCTGTCAGTGAAACTGTTTCGGAAAAAGACGGGACCATTATTCGTTCTCAATCCAGAAGATTAAACCGATAAGCAGAACACTTTGGAGAACAGTTCGATAGGCCTTTCGTCACACTTCAACTTGGACTGATGAATATATGTGCCTAGACCTACGTTGAAGCTGACTGACTGACACAGTTACCCACTATCTTCATGCAACATGAATGGCAAACTGATGTAAGTTCTCCAACTCTTAGTGAGGTTGGAAATACTATAAGCAATCTAAAGCCAGAGAGGGCAACAGGACTTGATGGACTAATCCTTGAGATCTTTTAAGGATGATGGTCCAGTTTCAGCAGTCAAATCAACTGAGATCTTCGCTAGAATCTGGGAAATGGATGAAATCTCATCTGACTGATCATCTCAATTTATAAGAACAAAAATCTTGTGATAATCACAGAGGAATCAGTTTAACCAATATAGTGTTTAAAATATTAGTCTCAATAACACTTTGAGGTCTAAGTAGAGTTCGTGAGTAGCGAACCCGAAAAAACCAGATCGATTTCAAACCTGGATGTATAGACCAAATATTTACCCTTCGGGAGGTTCTGGAACAGGCATACTTCTGGATATCCAACAAGTTTTATTTCTTGACCTTAGGGTGGCGTTCGGCTCCGTTGATCGAGATACTATGGCAGTAGTTGTCATTCAAAGGGATACTAAAGAAGTGCATTAACGTAAGGTGTTTGGGTGCAGTCGATAGGAAACCCACGTTTTGTGCCATTCGACACTCGTCATTAAAGTGCAACTGTAATCCCGTGGAAAGCACTGCTCCCTGGGGGATTCGATTCCATGTCACACAACCTCACACTCACAGGTTACCACGGAGCTATCCGGGCTGCAACTGACCTTTCCTAGGACTGAGATGTATTCACATTGCAATCTGATCGATCTGCACTAAGGACCTGACAAAAAATTAGTTACTAGCCAGTGACCAATCAACTGGAAGCACGTTAACACTGTACAGACTCTCTATTCGAACACTAATGCTTGAGTCAGAGCTTATGGCGAAATTTTATGGAAGTTGATCACTTCAAGTAGTGTTCGTCAAGATTGTCCGCTTCCCTCATTTTCATTTAATTTTGTCATAGGAATGTTTTTAAAGGTAATACTTCCATATCATGACTTTCCAAAGTTGATCTATCAGGAGGTTTACTTGTTGACCTGTAGTACGAAGATGATATAGTTCTGTATGGCGAAGACGCTAACAAAAAGCATTTTACCGTCCACCTTATGCAAACATGCTAGCATGTTCGGGATGCGGTTTTCTTCCTCCAAATGCAAAATTTTACTTCAGGATTGGCTTGCATCTGCGTCTGAATTAGTGATAGAGAGTGAAGTAATCGAGTGTGTCGACCACCACTTATACCGGAATCCCCATCAGTGCTGATGGTCTGGTGTGTGACGAAAAGTTGGCACAAAGTTTGAAGGCTCGATTGGTTTTTTGAAGACTTGCATCAAATAGTGGTGTAGGCGAGATATTCGTCTTCCAAACAAAGGACGAGTTTACTGCTTGACAGTTTGCTCCGTCCTAATTTATAGGTGTGAAAAATGGTCATTAAGAATAGAGAATGTTTGTAGGTTATTGGTATACGACTACTATAGGTATCTACGAAGGATTGCTAGCGTATTTTGGAACCACGGAGTAAGCAATGACTGAGTTAGGAATAGAGTTCTAGATAAAGACGGAAAATCGATCGATGAGTTAGTAAGTCTTCGTCAACTGAGGTGTTACGTATGCCTAACCACTGCCTACCTCGGGTGGTTTTCTGGAGCAGGAGAAGGTTGGAAGAAAGCCAGGGGTAGCCAAACCAAACATGGCATTATTCCACTGCCAACCGGGCTTAGCGTTGTGAATAGTTATGGACTAACTGGTTGGAGTCTTTGTGATTGTGAATGGCATGGCTCAAAATCGTTTGGAACAACACAGGTGCATTTATTCTTTGACTAACCCTAATCCTAACATTATAAGTTCCTCACAACTTATTTTTGTTTTTATTTCACTAATTTACATTTTCTTTTTGAGTCGTATCTACGATGCCTATTATTATTATTACCATTGATACTGTTACTACATCTATTACTCCAGGAATTCGCGTCATAAACCAATGTATGTACGTACCAGGTTCTACGTTGTGACTGTGACTAAGTAAAACCGATAGTAGATATTAGTTTCTTGACCTATTGAACTGAAGTGAGAAGACGCACTATTAGTTCAGACTTTAATTAAGACTGTAAAGTTATAAACACCAGGATTTTTATGAAAATCACATCTAGAAAATAATGCCGATTTATAATGCATCATTCTTATAAGCTATTTAAACCCACTTTAATTGATTTAGATTTCTCAATAGAAGCACGTAACTCTTCGATTGTCCGCTTCACGGTCTGTAATCTAGATATCATACAATCCACCTGCTTCTCATCGTTCGTAACGCGTTCACGTAACTTGTTATTGACTTCTCGTAGTTGAGCTGCCCGATCACCTGATAATTTTAACTCCTGCTCTTCTTCATGTGTAGCAGATAATATATGTTGTATGAGAGCAGTGGTTTTTAAATAGATATTACTTGTATCCGCGTTGAATTCATCCCTGAACACATCAGACATTATCCAAAACAACCAATCATATCCTAAAAACAAGTTACAGATAGGAATAAAGTGTACAATACCCTATTATGGTTGCTAATGGCTGCCAAAACGGCACTAATATTTCCAGTTGAGTTACCCTTATGATTTTGAGTACGTCGTCATACAAATATATATGAAGAGCGTAAAAAGATTATTCATGTAAATTGTATGACGTATTTTCCTCAGTTTTCATTTCAAATAAATCAGCCTTTCATAGGAAGATTATACATCCCTCTTAAGTATTATTTTTTGAGAAATCTCATAACACAGAGTCTATATGGCTGAACAAACAGTTCCTAAATCTTGTGCTGAGATATCTTAAAAGTCAAAAATAACAAATGGCTAATCAGAGGTTTAAGGGTTTTCTTACCCTTCTTTGTAGAAAACAAAACACTTGGGAGAAGTATGAATATCGAACACTAAAAGTGGGAAAGTGAGCTACAATTATTATTCCATATAAGACAGGGATGGTATCGTGGTAAACGAGAACTCAAGTGGGGAAAACCTATTTTTTATTCAGTGCAAAACTACAGAATGCGTTCATAAAACATGAAAATCATACAATAAGTACATTATCCGCAAATCTTCCTTCATTTATCCTTCACATACTTCACGATTCTACCAATTGTTTTTATTACAATTCCTCTGTTTCCTCTCCTGTTCTTTTTATTTCAATCTGCTGCCAATCAGGCACTCCACTTTCGATTGCTGCTACATACTAATTCTACCCATCAGCATAAGTAGCATACACCAAAGCACAGTTGAAAAAATGTTTCAAATCATCAGATCATATGTTTTAATTTACTCCTGACTAAAATTAGGGTAAACCAATAGTATACAATTAACCTCTTGAGTATTGTTCACTTGAATTGAATAGTCTAAGCAAATTTTCTGAAGTCCTTAGGAAAGAAATTCATTATCTGTCTAGTAGTAAACATAGTGCCTCACAAATACATAGTACATTACTTCGGCTGTTTATTTTCATGTGCCAAGGTCGCAAACTGTTGGCACTGGTGACTCATCACCACTAGGCACAAAGACTTCGTAGGTGAATCTTTCTGTATAACCCACAACTGTGTGATACCACATTGTCTTACACGAAAGCAACGGTAACTATTATCCACTATAATTTCAGCACTTTGTTCTTCGGGAAAAAGGAAATCAGCAACTAATAGTCGACCAACTAATAAAATAACGGTGAGCCACTACGCTTTTGAAATCTACGGAAACACGTATGTGAAAGGTTATACAAATGCATATATCAATTCCAGGAGAGAAAGGAATATGGATTATACATCACATCAACAACTTGAAACCCTCGTGACACAGAAAACATTTGTAACAGAAAATGCTCTGCTGCTTTGCAAAATTAGTTTCAGAAATGAAACTAGTGTCCATAAACCACCATAAAATACGTAAGTTTATACACTTAATCTCCAGGCAAGAAGATGGATTTGTTAACGATAAAAGAGGAAACGGAAATTAATAAATCATAGTATGATACTATCCTTAGACCATTAGAATAAATCGAGTCGCCTCTTAAAGGACTCCTGGGAAGTCGCTGGGACTAGCTCGGCCGGCAGCGAATTCCAGCATCTGACAACTCCTAAGGAGTAGAAGTTGTGTCTACAGTCCGTTCTGCTATGTTGTATCTCCGATTTCTGGGTGTTATCCCTTATGTTAGTGTTGGGACTAAGCTTAAGTAGGTGTTTAAGAGGATGTCCAGAAGTCTTAAGGATACTGTAAGCCATTACAAGGTCACTTCTAAGACGCCTATACTCTAATGGGTAAAGGTTTAGTGATTTGAGGCGCTCTTCATAAGGTTTAAATCTGAGTCTTCGAACTGATTTCGTGGCTCGCGGTTGGATACGTAGAGCTGACACATTCAACCGTTTGAAATTCCAGCGCCTGTTGTTAGTGGGATATCTTAGCTCAGTTTTGCTGACAAAACTGAAAGCTATAACAGCGTGATCGCTTCCCCCCAGGGGAGCCAGGATTGAGAGGTTGTCAACTAGAAATCCTTCGTCTGTAAATACACAATCTAAGCGCGATGGTGTCTGACTTTCTCCAACGAGTTGCCGACTTCACATTTTCGTGTAATCCCAAATTCTCAATGAGGTTGAAGAACCGAGCTTCAGTTGAGTTTTCACCTCCAATATACGTATGTTCCGCGAAATTGACTCTAGGGAGATTGAAGTCCCTCAGAATCAGGATATGAGTGAAACCGAGACGCGTAGAGCGGGATAGTCCTTCCAGCATACGACTGTCATACTCGATGTCAGCAGTGGGCTTCCTATATATGACTCCGACTAGGCACCTCAAAGTAGTAGACAATCTTACAGAGCACCATAATAACTCATCAAGATTGTTAAACTCATGGTTGTGAACTTGGTATACCTCCAAGCAAGATCGTATGTATTATTTATTTATTTAAACACATAAGTATTGGTACAGGAGGGCACCAAATATATATGCGCCACACAAAACAATGAGAATTTGCAGTGAAGGAAAAAAACGTAAGGAGCGTAAAAAAACGATAACGAACAGATTAGTGTAAGGTAGTGTAATAATAATAATGGGAAAACAGAAAAGTACAACCAGAAGAATTTTCCAGTTAAGGAAGAAGCAACCACTTTTTACGAAGAAAGTAAAAGGTTACAGCAGGATCGCCACTGGCTTCTATTCTGAGCCATATCTGATAACGTCTCTACTCGAGAACGTTTAGGTAGAACCGAATTTCCACCATAAACGAGCTGCTGTATAAGTCGAAAAATAAGGATAGACAGAGTAGGAATAAAAGAGTGAATAAATGACGTAGTAAATAATAACAATAGTAATAATAATAATGTGAATCGTTTGATTAATAGTTGAAGCAAGAAAAGTATTTTCCATAATTATCGACAGTTCATCATATTTGTGTGCGGGCTGTGATGCAGCTCGGATGCCCAGACCGAAGCAGTATGTATACGGCTACTCCACCTCCAATTCCTGTTTTTCTGTCGTTGCGTAACAAACACATACCAGGTGTTGCTAGCTCCTGGTCCGAGAATTGAGAAGATACCCAAGTTTCAGATATTTCTATCTTACTTACTTACTAATGCTTGTTACTCCCAATGGAGCATAGGCCGCTGACCAGCATTCTCCAACCCACTCTGTCCTGGGCCTTCTTTTCTCGTTCCATCCTATTCTTGTTCATTTTTCTCATGTCTATTTCCATTTCTCGGCGTAATGTGTTCTTTGATCTTCCTCTTTTCCTTTGGCCTTGAGGATTCCATGTGAAGGCTTGTCTTGTGACGCAGTTCGGTGCTTTCCTTAATGTGTGTCCTATCCACTTCCAGCGCTTCTTCCTGATTTCTTCCTCCACTGGAATGTGGTTTGTTCTCTCCCATAGTGGGTTGTTGCTGACAGTGTCTGACCAACGGATCCAAATTATTTTGAGTAGTCAACTGTTAATAAACACCTGTATTTTCTGGATGATGGCTTTCGTAGTTCTCCAAGTTTCCGCCCCATACAGTGGGACTGTCTTGACATTTGTATTGAAAATCCTGACCTTGGTGTTGGTTGACAGTTGCTCTGAGTTCCAGATGTTCCTCAGTTGTAAATATGCTGCTCTTGCTTTGCTGATCCGCGCCTTCACATCTGCATCGGATCCACCCTATTCATCAATGATGCTGCCAAAATACGTAAAGGTTTTTACATCTTTCGAATCTTCTCCGTCAATTGTGATTGGATTGGTGCATGCAGTGTTGTATCGGAGAATCCTGCTTTTCCCTTTGTGTATATTGAGACCTACTGCTGCTGAGGCTGCTGCCACACTGTTCGTCTTCTCCTGCATTTGTTGTTGCGTTTGCGATAGAAGAGCCAGATCATCTGCGAAGTCTAGATCGTCCAACTGCATCCTAGATGTCCATTGTATCCCGTGCTTCCCTTCAGACGTTGACGTCTTCATGATCCAGTCGATCACCAGGAGAAAGAGAAAGGGTGAGAGTAAGCAACCTTGCCTAACACCGGTCTTCACTTCGAACGACTTTGTCAACTGTCCTCCATGCACGATTTTGCAGTGTAATCCATCATACGAACTCTGTATGATATTGACTATCTTCTAAGGTACGCCGTAGTATCGAAGAAGCTTCCATAATGTTGTTTTGTCCACGCTGTCAAATGCTTTTTCATAGTCAATGAAGTTGATGTAGAGTGATGAATTCCATTCAATTGATTGTTCCACAATGATCCGTAGAGTTGCGATTTGGTCTGTACACGATCTATCCTTACGGAATCCTGCCTGTTGGTCACGAAGTTGGGCATCTACGCAGTCCTTCATCCTGTTTAACAATACCCTGTTGAAGACTTTTCCCGGTATTGAGAGAAGAGTGATGCCTCTGTAGTTATCACACTTGCTGAGATCGCCTTTCTTCGGTATTTTGATCAGGAGTCCTTCTTTCCAGTCTTTTGGAACTTGTTCCTCATCCCAAATCTTATTGAAGAGAATGTGGAGTATCCTCGCAGTTACTGCTACATCTGCTTTCAGTGCCTCTGCTGGAATGTTGTGTGGTCCTGCTGCTTTGCCACTCTTGATTTGTTTGATGGCCATGCTGATTTCTTCAACTGTTGGTGGGCCAACATTGATTGGGAGGTCCGTGGGTGCTGCTTCGATGTTGGGTGGGTTCAGTGGAGCTGGTCGATTCAACAGTTCTTTGAAGTGTTCTACCCACCTGTTTTGTTGCTCTTCAATGTTGGTGATTACCTCGCCCTCCTTGCTTTTGACTGGTCGTTCTGGTTTGCGGCAATTTCCAGAGAGTTTCTTTGTCGTGTCATACAGTTGTCTCATGTTTCCTTCTCTTGCAGCCTTTTCCGCCGTCGTTGATAAATCTCCCACAGATTTACGTTTGTCGGTTCTGATGCTCCTCTTCACTTGCTTGTTTACCTCTAAGTATTCAGCTTGTACCTTGGCTTTTTTTGCTCTTGTTCGGCTGGTATTGATTGCTGCCTTCTTGTTCCTCCTTTCTTGAATCTTATCCAGTGTATCAACAGTGATCCATTCCTTGTGATGGTGCTTCTTGTGACCCAGGACCTCATGACATGTTGAAGTGATTGCCTCTTTGATCCCCTTCCAGTTGTTCTCCACAGTAGTTCCTTCTCCATTGAGTAGATCATGAAAGGCCTGGAACTTGTTGCTGAGGACTATCTTGAATTTGTTGAGTTTGTTAGTATCCTGGAGAAAGGCCGTATTGAAATTTTGTAATATTGTCAGCCCTATTGTCCAGTGCTTCTTGAGTTTCAATTTCATCTTGGCGACCAGCAAGTGATGATCTGATGCTATATCAGCTCCTCTCTTGGTTCTCACGTCCCCTATAGTCCTCCTGAACGTTTTGTTGATGCAAATATGGTCGATTTGGTTTTGTGTGGTGTGGTCCGGTGAAGTCCATGTGATTTTGTGAATGCGTTTATGTGGGAATACAGTTCCGCCTATGACCAGTTTATTGAAGGCACATCGATTTGCGAATCTCTCACCATTTTCGTTCCTTTCTCCCAGTCCGTGTCGTCCCATGATGTCTTTATATCCAGTGTTGTCCGTTCCAACCTTGGCATTGAAATCTCCCATCAGAATGGCCAGGTCCTTTGTTGGGCACTTCCGAAGATTGACTGCAGCCTATTGCAAAATTGATCTTTATCGTCTTCATTGTAGTCGTTGGTAGGCGCATAGCATTGAATGATCTTCATTGAAATGCCCTCTTTCTTTGTTTTGAAGGAGGCTTTGATGATCCTTGGTCCATGAGATTCCCATCCTATAAGCTCTCCTGTAGTTAGTCGTTGTTGTCCAACTTGCGTCCAATGTGTTTCACTGATCCCAAGTACCTCTAGGTTGTATCTTCTCATTTCTGCAGCAATTTGGAAGGCTCTCCCGGTGTCCCACATTGTACGAACATTCCATGTACCTAAATAAATGGTCGCTCTGGTTGTCAGAAGGGGCATCGGCCTCGTAACTTCCGAAGGAATTCGGCTTTCATCATGAGGCGTCATAGTTCTTCTAAATGAAGACCTTCTGACTCCCAGGGCAGAGTTTAAAATGTTTGAATAATTTTTTCTGGTTAGCATTTTCTAGCGAGTTAGTTTTTAACGGGATGGGGACGCTAACCCTATGCCCAACCCTCCTCCTTTATCCGGACTTGGGACCGGCAGTAGCCTTCGGAGGGACTCCAGGCGGAGTTAGATATTCCTATCAGATGAACCTTATTAGCATTACTAAGTTCACATAGCTCACCCATTTTATTTAGTCCCGACCGAAGCTTCTACCTTGACGCAGTGGTCAGGATTGCCTATCGTGATGACCCAACCGAGCTATATTGGCCGGAACATATGTACCTGTAGGTTCTACCATGCCAGGCAGGTCGATTGGAGAACGGTAAGACTAAAAGCAGCAACTCAAGGTCTGAGGGCGAAGTCGTACTGCTGACTGTAGAGGGGTGTGACAGCAGTAAGGTGTTTCCCTCATACAACCAGCATCTGCAGCGATGCAGCCTTGCCACAAGGAGGGGTGGGGTTAGAAAAGGTCGACCTTAAAAATGTCACACCTCACCTTACCTCACG